TTTTTCCTACGCTTTTTCGGGGTTGCCGTTTTTGCCTGGCACCTTTCTTTCTAGGAGATGGCGGCGCCGCCCGCGATGAGCCGGAGAATCGTCGCAACGCGGTTGTCGGCGAGCTTCCGCGACGCCACCGAGATTCGCCTGGGCCCGGTTCCGGCAGTTTTTAAACCGACGGAGGTTCTCGTGAAGAACCGGTTTGTCGGCGTGAACGCAAGTGATATTAATTTTACCGCTGGTAGGTACAAGCCTGATGTGAATCCCCCTTTTGACTGCGGGTTCGAGGCGCTTGGGGAGGTTGTTGCTGTAGGAAGTAACGTCAAAGATTTCTTCGTTGGCGAAGCTGTGGTCACACAGTCTTACGGTGCTTTTGCTGAGTATCAAACGGTTCCTTCTCGGCAGGCCAAGAAGGTACCCTCACTAAAGAAAGAGTGGCTTCCACTGGATCTCAGTGGCACGACTGCATCCATTTCTTTGGGGGAGGTGGCCAAACCTCAGGTTGGGGAAGTGGCGATTGTTACTGCTGCCAGCGGCGGCACTGGTCAATTTGCTGTTCAACTGCTGAAAAAGGTCTACCGCTGCTTTGTAATTGGGGTAACATCATCTCCCACAAAAGAGGCGTTTTTGAAAGAACTAGGATGTGACAGTGTCATCGTCGACCAACGGGAGTCTGTTGATGAAGGAATCAAACGAATTGCCCCCACAGGGGTAAACCTTGCATACGAATCAGTTGGAGGCGAGATGTTCGAGTCTATAGTTAAAAACATTGCGCTTAGAGGTCGCATACTCTCCATTGGAAGCATATCTGGATATAACGATGGCAGTAGTTGGATACAACGTGCTTCAAATTATACACCAATACAAACGAGACTCTTGTCGAAAAGCGCCACATTGCACGCATTCTTTTTGCCCCATTTTGGCAAGTATGCTCGTCGTCACTTTTCAACACTGTGCGAGCACTATGAATCTGGGCTTATAAAAAGCTCAGTGGACCCATTCCCATTTAAAGGATTGGAAGCTGTTCCTGATGCTGTTGATTATATGTATGCGAGGAGGAACAAAGGTAAAATTATTGTTGAAATATGAGGTGGGAAACATACACATGTTATGTTTTCTTTCTTGTTGTTATTAGAGATAAATGACACTATGCGAACAGTAGCGCATTACTTGTCTTTTTTTTCTATTTATCTCTCTCTTTTTTCCCTCTTTTCCCTCCCCCCATTTTTTCGTGCATGAGTATGGGATGAGGTGGGGAAAGGGTGTGGGGAGTGGATTTTCATTAAAAAAAAACTGTCTCCAATGTTATTTCGTTCACATTTCATTGTTGTAATTTTTCCCATTTTCTTTTTTTCTAATTTATTTATCTGCGCCATGTCTACACATTTAAGAAGAACTGAGTCATGATCCAAACCTTCAACGACCTTATAAGCCATATTTCTAAAGTTGGCACAAATGATGTACAGTGGGCTTCTCAAAAAATGGGTGACGAAGAGCTGGAGACTCTAATTGCCGCAATGGAAATGTCCCCTATTCCTGTGGAACAGATCGATATTTCTAGGAATGAAATAACATCAACTGGCGCCGCAGCGTTTTCTCGTTTTATACGAAAAACACCCAGCGTAAAGGAGGTGCAACTTCAGGACAACCATATTGACGACGTTGGAGCAAGGACCTTTCTTCATCTGTTCAGCAACCCTGCACACCCAAAACTATTCAATATTGAAGGGAATCCTTGCTCCAAAGCTTGTGCCCATAATTTGGCACTTTTGGCTCGGAGTGACACATTCCCCAAAGAAGTTCAGAGGGCACTAATTACAGGTGAAACAGATGAATTGAACCTAACTGGAGTTGACTACAACAAAACGGACCCCCGTTTGGTTCCGTTTTTTGTTGAGAACATGGAGGGACTAAAGAGACTGATACTGTCTGGATGTTCACTTAGGGACGCCGGTGCTGGTGTGGTTGGAGCACTCATTAAAAATGCCCCTTTGTGTCATGTGGATCTGAGCAACAATGATATATCTGAAGTTGGGCTTACACAATTTATTGAATTGAGCGACCTTTCGAATCATCAGACCATTACGTCTTTGTCCTTTGCTCATAACATTCGCATTGGCAATTTTACGGCTCAGAACCTTTCGAAAACCCTTTTCCAAAAGAATTACAAAATCACCTTCTTTGATTTGTCGGAAACATCTGTTACCTCCAAGATTCGTGCTATTGTAGATCATGAATGTGATCTTAACAAGCAGCCACGTCTTCTTAAAACAGTTATGGTAGGAATTTCGACAAACAACCCGGAATGTACATCTATTAACCTTCAGTGGGAAGAAGGGATGGAAGAAGCCGCACGTTTTATTGCTCCTGTTTTAAAAGACAATACGCATTTGTTGGAATTGAACTTGGGCAACTGTTCATTGGGCGACAAAGGTGTGCAGCTTTTAGTGGAAGGAATACGTCAGAATAACAGCATTCGTGCCGTTGTTTTTCCCAACAACGGCATTACGTCTACTGGAGCAAAGCTTCTGTTTCAGTGTGCTCAGCAGCGTCCGAAAATGGAGGAAGTGAACCTTGCAGGAAATCGCATCACAGACGAAGCAGCCTTGTCAATATTGAGTGCTCTTCGGTTTAACAGTTCTCTTAAAAGTATCAATATCACCAACAATTACATCAGTGCAGACTACATGAACGAGGTTGAGGGTTTGTTATTGATAAACCAATCACCAAAGACCATTCAAAAGCTTCTGGCCGAAATTGAGGCTAATGATTCTTCTCTTACCAAAATATCCCTTTCAGGGGGCACTGGGGATGAATATTGTAATGATGCTTCTGTGAAATTGCTTTGCCAATCACTTTTGCTGAACAGAACTGTGACCTTATTGGATCTCTCCAGAAATGTTGTGGGTGACTTGGGTCTGACTTCCATAGCTGAAATGCTTATGACCAACACCACTCTTACACATTTGAATCTTTCTGAGAATTCTATATCAAATCGTGGTGTTCAGCGTCTTTGCGACGCCCTTCGCACAAACGCCTCGATTCAGGAACTTGACCTTTCGAACAACGTGATAAATGACGATGGAGTGGAGGGTTTTATTGATGTTCTGAAATTCAATGAGAGACTGGAGAAAATTTCTTTGAAGAAGACAGGCGTTTCAGAGAAGATGTCCACTAAGATCACAGAGGCTGCTGATCTTAACAAGGAGCCGAGTAATCTCAAGGGGGCAGTCTACAGGCTACAGAAGGGTGACACGCAACTATCTAAGCTTGATTTGAGCAGAGAGAACTGCACGAGGCCGCTTGATGATCAATCGATTACAACGCTTTGCACTCATTTACGGGGGAGAACATTTATTGAGAGTTTGATTTTGAAAGGTAATTCCGTTGGTACAGAAGGGTGTAAGAGCATTGGAAGCCTTCTCTCATACCCAGGTTGTGGAATCCGTCTGCTGGATCTGTCATCTAACCCTGTTGATGACAATGGCCTACGTGAGTTGGCCAGTGGACTCTCTTCCGATTATTGCGTACTGGAAGTCCTTTTATTGTCCGAAACATCAGTGACATCAGCAGGAATTGATTTTCTGACCACGGTTCTGAAGCAGAATAAATCTCTCTTGGAGGTGGACACACCAGAGGGTGTTTCGGCGGATTCATTCTGTCTGATGAATCGGGAGCTCATGGTGAATGCCCAGCCCAAGTCCCTAAAGCCCCTATTGGCATCTATTGATGCCAACGACGCTATATCAACGCTTGTATTTAGGGATCCAAATGTTCCTTTTACAGATTCGGCATGCCAATTACTTTCTGCTTCACTGGTGAAGAACGACCACATTACTGCTGTCGATCTATCACACAATCAATTGACGTGCGATTGCATGCCTTTTCTGTTGGAAGCTCTTTCCAGGTCCACAAGAATAACATCTGTTGATCTTTCCCATAATCGTATTGATGATAGGGGAGGGAAGTCTCTTGTGTTATTTATGCGCGAGAATGATCATGTTTTGTCGCTCGCTCTGGAAGGGAATACGATATCCTCTGAGACTTTGAGTACAATCGACCAGCTGTTATCTCTCAATGGGGGTTCAGTCAAATTAAAAAAGATACTCCTAAAACACTGGACAGGCAAACTCAAGGATGAAATGATTGACTTGAATGCGCACGACGAATTCTACAAGCTTACGGACAATGATGTTTCTCTCTTATGTGAAGTGTTGGCAGAAGCAACATCGATCCGGGCCGTTGATCTTGGAATGAACTGTATAACAGATGTTGGGTGTGAAATGATTGCCGATGTACTTCGACAAAACCACAAAATCGAAGCTTTGTATTTGGATTATAACCCTATTGGAGAGGCTGGAGGCGAAGCCCTTTATAATGCGTTGAAGGTGAACCATCGGCTTCACACGCTTTTTCTTGAAGGAACAAATGTACCTGGTGAGATATGGGAGGATATTTTGAGTCTTCTTCACGTTAACGAAACCCCGCTCAAGGAAAGGATCAACATGAGAGACCTTAACCTGGAGGACGTTGATGATGATACACAGTTTAAGAGCACCGACTATGCTACTGCTCAAGAAGAAAAAGTGGGTGATGATGCACTCCACCTCTATTTGGAGCCACGCAAACCTCTTCTCTTGAACAACTAAATAGGTTTTTTTTTTCATTTTCTTTTTCATTTTTCTATGAGCCACCCATTTATGAATAGTCCTCTTTGCTAAAGTATGCATTATGTACACGAGTCTTATGTAGATGTACACGGGGGACCAACCTCGAATGTTTGGGAGAACAAAATAATGGATGATCAGTTTTTTTTCGTGTTGACTTCATGCGTAACTTTAAATATTTAGACCATAAAAAATTCTCATTGTATCTCTACTTATTTGGTTTTGTTCTTTTTTTTTGTGTGTGTGTGTACTTCAAAGCGCTGGTACACACGCTCGTATCTAGAAGGGCTTGCACCACGTCACATTGTATCGGGGCCCTGACTGTGTGTCCGTGTGCGTAGTCATAAAGGAATGTCATTCACACTACCTGAGACGATGATGCCGTTGGCCTCGAGAACGGTGAAGGAAAAAATTGTTCCTGAGAAACAGGAGAAAACCGAAGCAGAAGCTGAACGACTTCTTACATATCAGAAAAAAGAGTTCGAAGACATTATTGAGCGACAACAGGAACGCATCCGGACCATGCGGACGACTGTTACTATCGACATCGAGTGCAATGAGGGACTGCGCCGTGCCCAACTATTAGCAGAGAAGCGGGGGCTGGAAGAGGAGCTGGATGTCCTTACTGGGAAGTTAGATGATCTTCATGCACGCTGGAAAGAGGCGCGTCAAATGGGCAATCACGAATTTCAGTGGGGAGAGATAAAATCTAACCTTGAAAAAACTATAGGCCGCACCTGTGACCTCCAGGCGGAGATTCAGATCTCGGGAAAACAGTTAGAGGCGGTTAAAACATCGACCGAAACTGAAAAGGAACGGTTAAACACAATTCGAAAGGAACTTCAACGGACACAGCAGCATGTGAAGTGGATGCTGGAGTGCCAGACTGTTGATGAACAGAATTTTAAGAACCGCATTCGGGACGAAGAGGAATACCTTCGACAACTCATGGAAGCACGGGACACGACAGAAAAAGAGGTTGCTCAGTTAACGGCGAAGGAAGGGCTCGAGATGCTGCCGCTTCAAGAAGACGTCGACGTGTTGGAGATGTACTTGGAAGAAATGCAGAGGCGCACTCACGCCCTCCAGATCCAGTGTCAAGACCTTCGACATCAGGTGGAGGAGACAAAGAAATCGGCAGAGGTATCGGATCAAGCATCGCTGTCATTGGCTTATCAGCGTGCTGTGGAGTATGTTGATCAGAAATTGATTCAGTCTTTGAATGGAAAACAGGAGCTGGCGCGCCGTCAGCGTCTCGTCCCATTGTCTGTAAATACCAACAGGGCGCTATGGCTGCGGAATTATCTTGATGTGTGGAACGGCATTTCCCACGACTGTAAAAGGATACTTAAGGATGCAAAACCTGTAACTGAAGGTGACATTACAGAACGGAAGCGACAAATTGAAGTCGCACAGCAAAGACTCAATGAAGTTACGGGTGTGCAGGGCGGAGAATCGAGGGAAAAGCAAGGTGCTGTGATGATGGTAGAGAACTTGTTTTACTTGATGCGAGAACGGCAGAAGACAGAAGCTCAGCTCCAGCAACGTCTTGAAGAGGCTGCAAGTGGCATTGGTGAACCGCCTTCGTCTTATGTTTCTCTTGTCAAGACAGAAGGGTACAACGACATGATTGACGATGATGACGATGAACCGCTTTTGCCAACTGAGTTAAATGAGCAGCTGATTGATCCTATTGCGGAAGAAAACCATGAAGAGGCTCTTGATGAAATGCGCAGTGCGGTTGAATTCACTCCTGACAATTTGAGGGAAGTTGAAAAGCTTCAGCTGGCGGCACATCGCTCTCGTGATCAGTTGCGAGTGTTTCTGCAGCAGAAATCGTTGCTATTAAATGAGCAGAATGCGCGGGCGCATGTACCACTGCGACGTGCAGTGCCGTATGTCCCACCGAACACAATAGAGGGTGCGCTGAGCCAGATCCAAGAGAAACTGGTTGGCGAGGTTTTGAGTTTTGTGAAGAGCCGAAAGCAGAAAATAGCGCGGGGACATATAGATCCGCGACAAGAGACTATTTCATCGGATCCACGTTACACAGTTGAGGCAAACGATATACAGGCGAGGGCGCGCCGATTGCTCTCTGAATATCGAGGCACATCCTTCTCTGCTGCTGATCGCAAGTGGAGCGCGACGCGGCCGTCTCCCGTATCGGGCGTATTTCAGCGCATTATTGTAGAGGGTGCTCGCCTGCCGCCCGATATCATGAGTGCCTCACCAGCGCGACAGGCAAAGTATTTCCTGTCGTGTGCTGTACGAGGCTTCACTGCCGTAATGCTAGATCCGGGAAGCGCTACTCCCACTGTGCGGCAGCTTTTTCTCACTAGGGATCTCAACTGGCTTTGCGCGCGTGACGTGACCAAAACGGAGGTGGCAGGACTTGATAAGGTCGATGTCACTGTGAAGCTGTCGGATGTGTGCAACATTATTGTGACACCAGACCAACGAGTCACTGTATCGAAGCTGAAACCGGACTTCTCGTTCGCCATTATGGTAAACGCGGGGAGAGACCGTAGTGCCTGTTGGGTTGTGCAAACTGACAACAGCGAGAGCAGAAGATTTTGGGCGTATGTGCTTGCGTGGATAGTTAATGAAGCTGCATCCAACAACAAGGATGCGATTATCGTTAGACTAAGGGCCGCGAACGAGATCCTTGTGTTGGATGCTGTAGGGGCAACCGCGGATAGCGTGGAACCCACGGATCGTCATGGGCTGCTGGTGCAAGTTGATGACAAATGATGTTGTGGGAGTGGAATTGTTTTTTTCTTTTTCGTTTTGACGCTTCCTCTACCGCTTTGGTGCTCCTATCATTTCTACAAGTTTATGTGTCCGCCACTTTTGATGCATTCCCGTCTTGTTTTGTTTCCTCAGCCTTTCGCAAGCGTGTGAAAGTGCTCACCTTTCTACAGTGTTGTCTTCTCTTGTTTTTTGGTTTCCGGTTTCTCCCATTTTTTTTTTTGTTTTTGACAGAAAGAAAACGGGGAGAATACTCCGTGATGACGTCGCAGAAGGCGCATCAGCCCCTGTTTGTCCTCCAGCAGCACACTAGTGCTGTGATGACGTGCGCATTGGATGCACAGGGCGTGTTTCCACACCTCCTCCTAAGCGGCGATGTGGATGGTATCGTCAACCTGTGGGACCTCGAGCTCCGCGCTGTGTTGCTGTCGTTCCCGGCTGTTCAGGCAGCACGGCCGGCACCACAGGGCGAGGGCAAGGGGTCATCGTACGCAGCGTTTGCAAATGAGGGAGTCCTAAAAGTTGGGTTCCTCGCCTTTCGCGGATTCAGCGACGCAGCGACGGCGGAGGAGGGGAGTCTTGAGGTTTGCTTCTACACACAGTGCAGGAATCAGCATCTCTACATCTGGCGCGCCACGCTGGGTGATGGGGAGGGTGACTCCAGCCTTGAGGGAGATACGGCCGATGTGTGCAGGGTATCATTGGAACTGCTACACACGATCAATGTACCGCAGCATGGGTTCTGCACAGTGCCGAGCGTTCCACTTCCCTCTGGTGAGATGCAGTTGGCGGTTCCGCACGACAACGACGGGGTTCTTAGCTTGTGGAATGTCGACGGCAATGCCAAGGAAGGCACCTCACGTGAGGGGTTGCGTGTTTCCTGTTGTCAAAGTTTTCCTGCAGCTGGTGCTGGAACGAAGTGCGGTATTATTATGTGCATTTGCTACCGAGATAGTGAACATCTTGCCGTAGCGTTTGAGAGTGGGCATGTGTCTCTCAACAACACGCGTGGCGAGCGGTTGGCTATTCTGCGTGCCTTCGCGGAAACAGCCTTGGCGTGCGTGTGGTCAGGCAGCACTGTTCTTGCGTCATCGGCAGAGGGCCAACTCCATTGCTACAGAGTTAGTGACCTCTCGAGGGAAAAAGACGGGCCTACAGAAGATGAGGGCTTTTCTGTTTCTCTTACTGTGCAATGGGAGGTGTCTTTGCGCAAGGGTGTTGGGAGCCTGGCTCTGCAGCGCCATTTGGCTGTGGTTGGGTCGTGGGACCACACGCTGCGACTGTATGATGAGGGGTCAGGCCGTGTTATTACCATATTAACGTTTCATAGCGGCATCGTCAACGAAGTGGCTATGGCGCCTCTTTCAGCAGCGCAGTGCGCTTCCTTTGGTTTTGATGTGCGACATCCTCGATGGTGTGGTGCTCAAGTCCCCAACAGCGGTAGAAGCAGCAGTACAGAAGATGATTCTGTGTATCTGTTTGCCTCCGCGGGTAAGGATTTCACAATTGCTTTGTGGCGTGTTGACTTCAAGGTCCTCCGCGCAGTGGCGGTGTGTTCGGCGTGAAGTGGCAGTGAAAAAAGCCCTAGCGCCAACGAAAATAACATGGGTGGCTGATGGGTTGCCACCTCACTGCTCTTTGAAGTGAGACTGCACCAATACGTCAGTTGTTGGAGGCGCAGAAGTGGCGCTGTGACGTGATCGATATGTTTGAGAAACGAAGAAGAGGAACTCAAAAAAAAAAAGTAACTAAATGACTCCGTTGACACTTAAGTGCACTTGTTTCTTCTTTTGTATACTTCAATTGAAAGGAGTGAGAAACTGGGCTCACATCAGATAAGGCAGTGCATTGATCTGAAGGGAAGAGTGGGAGTTATAAACAAAAGAAAACAAAAATCAAACTTTTTTGATGATGCCATCGTCGTGGTCCATCATGCACGGCCGCTACATGCCGCAGGAGGTGCTCGGCACCGGTACCTACGGGCAGGTGCTGCGCTGCACTGACACTTTCACCGGGGAGAAGGTTGCCGTGAAGGTGGCTCATCGAGACGAGGCGTATCGTCGCTCCGCGATGAATGAGATGCGTGCCCTGCAGCTTCTCTCCCGAAGTGAAGACTCACTGCAGCTGTTGGACTTCTTCGAGGACCACGGATGCCTATGTATCGTGTCTGAACTACTGAGCATGAATTTTTACGAGTTGCTCCACACGGGTGGATTTAGACCACTCCCGCTAGATGCGGTGCGTGTGAGTGGTGAGTGTGTCTTGAGGGCTCTGACGGAACTGCACCGCGTGGGCTACATGCACTGCGACATCAAGCCTGAGAACGTCATGCTGCGCCACAACAAGACCAGCAGTGGCAACGCGGAAGACTTTACGCGCACGTGCCTTATCGACTTTGGGGCTGTGCGCCACTTCCACGAAAACACATACTACGACGTCCAGTCACTGTGGTACCGCGCACCTGAGGTGTTGCTGGGGGTCCCGTACACTCCGTTGATCGACTCCTGGAGCGTTGGCTGCTTGCTGTTCGAGTTCTACACCGGCAGGCCGCTCTTCCCTGGCGAGGGCCTGCAGGAGCAGCTGGCGTACATTGTCCACACCGTTGGCTCACCTTCTCTGGAGGCCGTGACGAACGGCGTAAACGTGGCGAATCTGCAGCTACCGTGTGTGGGAAGGGACATGAACATAGAGGAGAGCCTTAGCCGTCTAATTATGAAGTATCGCCACAACTCTGGCGGCGCGCGGAATTCATTTCAATCAGCAGCTGAAGAGGCGGCCTTTGTGAACTTACTCTGCCGGCTGCTGCAGCCAGACGAGAGGCGACGAATGTCGTGCGCAGATGCGCTCCACCACCCATTTTTCACCGCACACCACTCCAAGAGCGGCATCAATGCGGGTATCAATCTTCAGCCTATGAGTTCGTGTAGCAGCTGCCCCATGATGGCATGTGACTGCGGGTTTGGCGGTGGTCTTTCTTCTACTTGCAGCGATGCTCATAGCGTCAATTGCTTTGAGCACAGTGTGCCACATCAACAGCATCAGCCCCCCCACAGCCAGAGTCCACCTGTGATGCCCACAGGTTGCAATTCCGTCCCTTTCGTGACTATTCGTGGCAGCACACCAGCGGTGGTGGTCGCGGCACCTCAGCTAGCAAGAGCACCCAACATGGCCGTCTCACCCCCACATCTGTTTATACAGGGAGCAGTGTATAAAAGTCCAACTGCGTCAATAGCACAGCAATTCCCCTTCACAACGCGGCAACAGCAACAGCAGCATCTAATAAATACTCCTGTACAGCCGATGGCTGGCTCGTCTACGAATGACTTTCAGTCTTTTGTGCCAATGATGCGGCAGGGGCGGTGCTGGGGCCCAGCAATGGCTCCGCCGCAGTACCAGTTTTCGCCGCTGGTTCTTCCCATGTCGCAATACAGCCACGACTTATGCAATGACAGACCCGTTTACCCACGGAGTGAGGACTTGCTCGTGTACGGAGTCTCCATTACGAACCATCCGCATAGGATGGTGTACGCCCCGTCGTGAAGAGGCATTGGTTTCCTTTCACTTCCAAGGCCTGTGAGAAGCAGGGAGTTAAGAGGTGAGCCAGCCGGCATACACAACAGCAAAACGAAAACGAAAAAAAATTAAGATACAATAAGGATTGATATTTTTTTTTCCATTTCCGTTTGTTGTTCCTGTTACAAAGCATCAGTCAGAGTGTCCCGTCTATGTTTCTCTTATTTTGATCCATTTGTCCCAAGGGTCACATGACGCTTGAGTGGTTGTTGCGGGACACATCATCATGTACGTTTTCCCGTCCCGTAGTTTTTGTTGTGCAGAGATGCGAAGCAGATGCTGCACGATTTTGTCTTCTGCTTCGTTGTGGGGCCACGCAACCGCGCCTACTGCTGCAACGGCTGCTCTCTCGACGCGTGTAAAATACTATGCATAAATGCATAACAAAGAAATAATATAGGAAAAAATTGAGACAAACCAAAAAAAAAAAAAGGAAAACGAAATGTGCGGCGTCACAAGCGCGAGCACATGCAGATAAAATACACCCAAGTGAACAGACACAAATGCACACGGCAGGAATGCTTCGGATTTCTGTTGCTTCGTTTTGTTTTGCTCTCACCCTTGTTGAAGCGCACTCTCCTAAAACACGGTTTCCAAAACTCTTGATGGGCGCGTGGTTTTTGTTTCGTTTTGTTTTGTTTCTTCGTTCTTCTTATTTTTAGTTCCCCCGCTCTCCCTTTTCGTTCTGAGCGTGCTGCACCAGACACCATGCATGCACACAGGCAGGAGGTATTTGTTTCCCTTCTCGCTTGTGTCTTTTGTTTTTTTTTTTCTGTTTTCTCCGTGTTGCCGCTGCGGTGCTGTTGAGTGACGCTGCCACGGCACCGCCCGCCACCCACCCCACCCACTCCACGCACGCCTCCTCCCCTCTCCTGTGGAATTCATCACGCATTAACAACAACAAAAACAGCGGCAGCAGCAGCAGCAGAAGCAGCAGGGCTCGCATACACATGCGTGTATATGCACACAATGATATCACAAAAGGAAATGGACGCAAACAGTCAAGACAAGTGGAGCAAAAATACAAAGAAGCAAAGAAAAAGTACTGCGAATGACAGAAATATCAAGCAATGAATTTTGAATGTGTGTGTATATATATATCTACGCATGTGTATGTGTGTGTCTGTGTGTGTGCAGGGCTGTGTTGCTTTGGAGGGGAACGAGGCCTGGATGCGAGGCAGCACTATGATGTGCGATGTGAGTATGCGGCGGAATTGTACGCCGCCGTGGGGTGATCCAGGGGTGTATGCTTCTATGTTGTTGCATACATAGCTGCATGCCTGCATATATATATATATATATATATTTGTGCCTCCTCACTGTTGTTTCTTTTGTGAGGCACCACACTTTATATGTTCCCATTGCGTTCGTGTGCACTGTTCCCTTTTTTTCGTTTGCTATTTTGTGTACGCTTCGTTTCTGACTCTCTTGCAAAAAAAAAAAATCGTTTTGTTTGTTTTCTCTTGTTGTGTATTTGGGCGCTGCGTGTATTTTACTTTGAGGCTTCTTTTTGTTCGTGTTTTTGCGTTTGTTTGTTTTATCTGTTACGTGGGCCCTCCTCCGCTCTGTTTCGCCGTGCGTGCCGCAGCCTCCCAGCAGCAATGGCCGCATATAAGTTACCGGTGCGCAAACGGTCCCCCCCCCTCCAAACTACCGCCACCACAACAAACAGAAAATTTAGGCAATAAAAAAACAACAACAAAAGACGCAAAGCACACTTGATTTAGTTTATTACTGTTGAAAATTTCATTGGGAGTGAGGAGGGGGTTGCGTGTGTGTCGGTGTGCGTACGGCTGCTGCGCACCCAATGGAGGTGCCGTGGCCGAAGCACCACCACCCTACAGAGACAGAGACAGGGAACATGCAAAATATAAAAGAGAAGGCGGCATGCCTGGGGTACTGTGAAATGGGTAATTCGTGAGTGGAGTGGCAGCAGCAACAGGGGGTAATGCGAAGATGAACGAAACAAATTGTAAAAAACAAATACGGAGCGTTCTTATTCCCACTACCACGACTGGGATTATTCCTACTACTTCCAGTGTTGTTCCCGCCTTCGCTGTCATCGCTATTCTTGGTACAAACACAACGTCGCCTCCTCGGTGTCACACACACACACACACGCACACTTGTAAATGCGGTGACGTGTGCGTGTGTGACAGCGAGCAGGCCTCTGTACCGCCCTTCCCCCTTTGTTGCAGGAGTGAGGTGGCCTGTTGGTATGCCAGCCTCTTGCTTCTTGTTTAGGTTTTCCTACCCCTGCTTCTCTCGTCATCGGTTCTTTGGTTGGTCGGACGTCGTTCTTTCATTCTGGATCTGTCCCCCTTCCGTGTTTTCCGCCACTGTAGTTCCGCCCGCCCCCTTTCCCCCTGTTAGTGGAAAGGGGCGAAGTCGGGCGTGTACTGCTGTTTCTGTTGCTGTTGCAGCAGACCTGCGCGCTCCTTTTTTTCATGCGGGTGACGCGCAGAGGGAAAGAGAGAGAGAGAAGAGAGAGAGAGAAGAGAGAGAGAGAAGAGAGAGAGAGAGAGAGAGAAGAGAGAGAGAAGAGAGAGAGAAGAGAGAGAGNAGAGAGAGAGAGGGAGAGAGAGAGAGATGACGATGCCCAGAATGAGAGAAAATGCGGCACTCAGAGCAGTATGATAACACCAAATAACTCAAAGAAAAGGCGTATCTTTTCCAATGCTTTCGGTATGAGCGATATCTTTGATTCTCCCTTCACATGATTTTTCTTCGCGTTGTGCTCTTTTGTTGTATATGAATGTTCTCGCTGCAGTTGTACGTCCGCTCGTCGTCTCCCTGTCCTGCGGGACGCACAGCACATGCCTACATGCGTGTGCCCAGCGTCTAGCGAAGGCGGGAGAGAAAGGGAGAGAGATGCCGATTGGATGAACGGCAGCTGTCAGAACAGCAAAGCCGGGAGGAAGGTGATGTGGGTTAGACCATGGCCGCTTCGTAGCTATGTGTGATTTTGTTGTGTTTTATCTCTTTTTCGTGCATGACTCACTTCCATTTTTCATGGATTTGTGGTTTCGTCTGGCTTCAAGGCCTGAACGTAACGGTCACGGTTGCGCCGTTCATTGGTGCGGCAAGGCACCTATCCGACCTGCTGCAAAACAAGCCGGGGACACGCTTTCCCGTCGGCGCATCACCACGTGGCAGGGTCGCTTGCACAAAACCCCCTGCTGTTCACCCTTCCGAATACCTCCCCCACTTCTTTTTTTGTTTTGTTTTGTTTTGCAATCGTACCGACTCCAGTGTTTTTGTTTGTTTGTTTGTGTTCGTTGTTTTTGTTGTTTTCTGACTTCGTTTGCCTGTTTTTTTTTTCGCTGTTTAGCTTGATGATTCTTCCCTCATATACCCTCGCGCACACTTACCTACCCGCCCTTCCTCGTTTGTTCGTTGTTGTTTTTTTCCCACCTTGTTGTGTTCATTTGTTCAGACTTGTGTTGGGGCGTCGAAACCAGGTGCTGTTGCGGCTGTTCTTTTCCTCCTCCCCCTGACGGCTCTCTTTCTCGCGGAGGAGGTTCTTTTTTTCGCCCTCCTAAGCTCGAGTGGTGGGAGGCGGGTGTTGTGTGCTGCACCACCGCCTCCCCTGGGTGCGGGGGGAAGTGGGAATATGGGGAAGTACGGCCGCAGTTACTGTTACTGCTGGTTTTTTTTGTATTCTGCTTTCTGATTTCCTTTTTTGTTAGTTTCTGCTTTTGTCTTTTCCTTGTGGATTGCTTTTTTTTTT